TTCAGAAATGCTGGGCACCACAACTCCAGTTACATCAGTGGTTGCTGTGGGTGCTCAACACCTCTGAAAATCAGGCTAATATTGTTTTAAACATATCTAACTGTAATAAGAAAGCTAGTTCCTGATTAGCTAGTTATTTAAAATGGCATTCAGTTCCTAATGATAAGCCATTCAACAATGTGACAGGATGGCACTGATTATATTTTATCATCTTACTCAGAAGCTGGTATTCATAGACACTCATTTCAGGAATCAGTGTTTTAACTAGAAGCTATGATTTACGATATAAAAACTTGTCTACTATATGAATATTGGAAAAATACTTCTTTGAGTAGTGTCTCTATGCGTGCTTCACTGTAGGTGTGCTTGCAGCCCTGTGCTGCTGATTGGAGAACTTTGATAGCAGTGTCTGTTTGGCCCACACATGCACTGTCCCCCTCCACGTGCTGTCAACAGCACCTGGCTAGAGACAGAGATATTAGCTGTCCATTCATCAGATTGTTAACTCTACTGTTCGAACTTAACTATCTACTAATCTTTCTTTGTTATTTTAGTTTCCTTTGTTTTTTTTCTTAAAAAACAAACAACCCCCCCACACTTTATCTACTTCTTCCCCTTTCTCCGGTTCACCTGGGTTTAAAGAGGTGCCTCTCCTGTTAAGAAGCATCTTTGTAAGGGAGGGACATTCCTATTGTGTCCGTTGCCTTGGGGAAAACCACATGCCCCAGAAGTATTTTTTTTGTCAGCAGCTGAAGCCATGATCTCGAAAGGACAGACAGCTCAGACTAAAACTCCTTCTAATGGAGGCAGCTCTCCAGCCTCCTTCAGACCCGTGTCAAAATTTACCCAAAGGATGGGAATCTTCACCACAGCCCTCTACATCCACAGACAATTAATCTAAAGCCATGAGACACTCACATATAGCTTCAAAAGAGAGCTGCGAGTCCCCTGAGTGAACCCCAAACAAGCCAGAAAAGATCCCCAGCATGTTATATATCATTGTACTGAATGGTACTGAAACCATCCAAATGCAGTACCCAGAACTTGCACAGTACCATCCCAATGGAGCACGTTGATATGCCTAAAGACCCGATGGGCACAGGCACCGAAGCAAAGGTACCAACTGTGAGAGATAAGGACAGAGACCATGCTTTGGGGAAGGCTCCCTCAGTATGGGCAATGGCTTTGGTACCAGCAATGGTATGCCAAACAACATCAGAGCATTTAGCCTGGTCTACATCACCAATCCCGTCAGCACTGTCGTCTCAGCACCGGCAGCCACCACCAGTACCAACCTCCATGGCACCACAGGAGTTCAGATACTCGAAAGACTTCACAGTATCTGATGTACCTGGGTCTTCCCTACTTGGTACCAGGGCTCCGGTACTGACTTTACCTCAAGCTCGAGAGTCTCCACTGGCACCATGCCATGCCCCTCCATTCTCCAGTCGAGAGTGAGCAGGAAGAGGTTGTCTTTGCTCTTTCCATGCACCTTATAGTGCCCATTACCAATCTGGGCCTCCGGAGCTGTACTGCCTTCTGGACCCTCAACCACCCTGGTATGGATGACAATGTCCTTCCTGCCATCCCAATGGCCTTACTGGGACCCATGGGAGGAATATAGATATGACACCTCCTGAACATTTAGTGCGGGTCCCCATCAATGAGGCTTTCTTGGATCCAGCCAAATTGATATAGCAGACCCATACATCGGTCACACCAATCTGTAAGTGATCTGATAAGAAATACTACATCCCAACCAAGGGCACAGTTTCTTTTCTCCCATCCACCCCCTAATTTGATCGTTGTGGATGTGGTGAACTCCAGAGGTCGTCAGCACCATAGAATATAAGGGTTGGAAGGGACCCCAGAAGGTCATCTAGTCCAACCCCCTGCTCAAAGCAGGACCAATTCCCAGTTAAATCATCCCAGCCAGGGCTTTGTCAAGCCTGACCTTAAAAACCTCTAAGGAAGGAGATTCTACCACCTCCCTAGGTAACGCATTCCAGTGTTTCACTACCCTCTTAGTGAAAAAGTTTTTCCTAATATCCAATCTAAACCTCCCCCACTGTAACTTGAGACCATTACTCCTCGTTCTGTCATCTGATACCATTGAGAACAGTCTAGAGCCATCCTCTTTGGAACCCCCTTTCAGGTAGTTGAAAACAGCTATCAAATCCCCCCTCATTCTTCTCTTCTGCAGGCTAAACAATCCCAGCTCCCTCAGCCTCTCCTCATAACTCATATGTTCCAGACCCCTAATCATTTTTGTTGCCCTTCGCTGGACTCTCTCCAATTTATCCACATCCTTCTTGAAGTGTGGGGCCCAAAACTGGACACAGTACTCCAGATGAGGCCTCACCAATGTCGAATAGAGGGGAACGATCACGTCCCTCGATCTGCTCGCTATGCCCCTACTTATACATCCCAAAATGCCATTGGCCTTCTTGGCAACAAGGGCACACTGCTGACTCATATCCAGCTTCTCGTCCACTGTCACCCCTAGGTCCTTTTCCGCAGAACTGCTGCCTAGACATTCGGTCCCTAGTCTGTAGCTGTGCATTGGGTTCTTCCGTCCTAAGTGCAGGACCCTGCACTTATCCTTATTGAACCTCATCAGATTTCTTTTGGCCCAATCCTCCAATTTGTCTAGGTCCTTCTGTATCCTATCCCTCCCCTCCAGCGTATCTACCACTCCTCCCAGTTTAGTATCATCCGCAAATTTGCTGAGAGTGCAATCCACACCATCCTCCAGATCATTTATGAAGATATTGAACAAAACCGGCCCACCAGGTGAAGTCCACCTCTAATGATAGGTATTAGAAACGCCTCAACCATTTTGGAAGAAAGGCTTATTCTTCTGCCACACTACAATTCCACATCGCAAATTACCAAGTGCTAATAGCAAAATATAACTACTTCAGTTACTCCAAACTCAATTTGTTTATTGATCAATCACACAGAGATAAGTTTAGGGCCATTATCAAAGGATAACTGGTAGCCAAGATGGCACTTCAATCAGCACTTGACGTAGGCAATACTGCAGCATGATCCATCTTCACAGCAATTGTGATGCAACGAGTCTCTTGGCTACATTTATCTGGCTTCCCGAAGAAAGTACAGACAACCATGGAGGACCTTTCCTTCAAAGGCACCAAACTGTTCGCAGAAAAGACGGACGCATCCCTCCACACACTCAAAGACTCCAGGGCTACTCTTTGGTCGTTGGGGATTTATACACCTCACAGAAGAGAAAATAGAGTCTTCAGCCCTCACTTAAATCATGCACAGCACCCTATCAAACTCAATGCTTTTATGAGCCACAAAGGAAAAAGGCCAGATTCTCAAAGCGCAAACTATTGGGCACACAGCCTTCCCTCTTCCCAACCATCCACTTCAGAACATCAATTTTAATAGATTAGTTGGGGCACCGGCAGACCACTCCCTCCAACACCATCTGATGCTAAACAACTCTTCACATCCCTTTGGATGCCACCTGGCTGTTCCATAGCACCTGGGATCGGATAACATCTCACAAATTGGTGCTACAAATCATCCTTAATGGGTATTCCATTCATTTCACCTCCCTTCCCCTGCCCCCACAACACCTTTCCCCATCCCTCTTCAGGGACCCTCCTCATGAGAGTCTACTGTGACAAGAGATAGATCAACTCCTCTGTGTAGGAGCCAGAGAACCAGTACCTCAACAAGTAGGAGGCAAAGGTTTTTACTCTCGTTACTGCCTAATAATCAAGAAAAAGTGGGGTTGGAGAGCCATACTGGAGCTCAGAGCACTCAACAAGTTCATCAAGGCTCAAAAATTCAAGATGGTCATTCTAACAGCGAGTATTCCAGCTTTGGAACAGTGAGACTTTTTTGGCCCTCAACTTTCAGAATGCTTATTTCAATCTTACCACCCCACAGATGGTTCCTCATGTTTACCCCAGGACAGGACCACTACCAGTACAGGGTACTCCCCTTTGGGCTATCATCGGCTCCCAGAGTATTCTCCAAGGTCCTCATTGTAGTGGCAGCTCATCTTCATTTCTAGGGAATCATGATCTATCCCCATTTAGACAACTGCCTCCTCAGGGCTCGTTCCTTCGACAAAGTTCTGCAGGTTACCCATATGACTATGGACTTATTCAGAAGCCTGGGCCTACAAATCAATGTCCAAAAATCGATGTTAACCTCAGTACAGAGATTAGAATTTATAGGAGCCAATCTCGACTGTCTCTGAGTGAGCACTCTCCTCCCACAATACAGATTTTATAAGAGTGGAATAGATTGAGGAGACAGTGCAAACCAGCCCTCAAATATCAGCCAGACACTGCCTTCAACTGTTGGGGCCCATGGCTGCAGGCACATTTGTGATAGCTTATGCCAGGCTTTGCATGAGGTGTCTCCAGTCATGGTTCACCTCAGTTTACAGGCCAATCAGAGATAGCCTAGACAAGCCCCTATCATTACCCACCGAGGTCAAGCAGTCCTTGAAGTGGTGGAAGGACCCAGCAAACATCTGCACAGGGATCTCGTTCACACAGCCCAGTCCCCCTCCAGCACTACTCCTCACCATTGACACATCCCTCATAGGATTGGGAGCACATCTCAACAACCTCATAACACAGGGAAAGTGGTCACCCAGGGAGGCATTTCTTCATATCAATCTCCTCGAACTCAGAGCGGTCAGGAATGCATGTGCTTATTTCCTTCTGCTGATTAGAGGTACGCACACAAGGGTCATGATAAACAACATAGCTTGTATGTACTACATAAATCATCAATGGGCGCCAGATTGCTTTCCCTTTGTGAGGAAGCACTAATGCTATGGAACTGGTGCATTATGATATCAACGGCCTACCTACCAGGAGTGCAGAACACGACAGTTTAGCGTCTCAGGCGCAAGTTCCTACACAACCACGAATGGGAGATAACTCAGTAGGTACTCTATGGCATATTCAGACATTGAAGGACACCGACAATAGACTTGTTTACCTTACCTGAACAAGTAATGCCCATGCTACTTCTCCAGGGCAAGCCTCAGTCAGCACTCTTTAGGGGATGCTCTCTTTCTCTCATGGGACAAGGGCCTTCTATACGCTTTTCCCCCATTTCCTCTATCGCTGAAAGTCCTAATAAAAAGAGAAAGCAAATGTTTTACTGATTGCTCCCATCTAGCTGAGACAGACGTGATACCCTTACCTGTCACAGCTGGCAACACGTCTGCTAGTCTCTCTCCATACCTTCTCTCGCAGAACGAAGGAAACACTCTCAACCCCAACTTGCGGATACTCCAACTCAGGGGTGGCTCCTTCATGGTTCCAGCACATATAAAGATCCAGCTCTCAAGAGGTACAGGGAGTGTTACTACATAGTGTGAAATGGACTACCCTGTTTACTTACCTGCAAAAGCAGACTAGATTTCTGGTTTGGTGTAATTCCAAGCAAATTTCCCCATCTGCTACTCTCCCAATGGTACAGGAGCATATACTGACTCAAGAAATCAGTACCCTCTCTTAGTTCGTTCAAAGTTCACCTAGCAGTCATAGCAGCCTTCTATGAACAAATAGAGGGATTCTCAGTGCTCTCACCCAACTACAAAACAATTCCTTAAGGATATAGCAAATCTTTTTCCCCAATCTAGATGCCCCACCTCAATATGGGACCTAAACTTAGTACTAAAGAGCCCGACTAGACCACCCTTTGAACCCATGGCCACTTGTTAGCTCACATACCTGCCTATTAAGACAGTGTTCCTGGTGGAGATCACCTCAGCAAGGAGAATAGGGGAAATAGCAGCACTAGTGGCACCCCCACCCACTTATATTATTTCGGCACAAGGTTACTCTCAGACTGCACCTGAAGTTCATCCCCAAGATGACCTCATCTTTTCACATAAACCAACTGATTCACCTCCCAAAATTTTACCCTAATCCTCACTGTGATAACAGGGAGGCTTTACTGCACACCCTAGATGTTAGGAGAGCCCTGGCCTTTTACCTGGCCAGGACAAAGGCCTTTAGGAAATCTAATCTTTTCCTTTCCATTACGGAAAGATCTAATGGTACAACGATATCAACCCAGAGACTCTCCAAATGGGTCTCAAACTGTATCAAACACTGTTATCAGGTTCACAACATAGTGTCCGGAATCCATGCACACTCCACGAGGTTTGTTTCCTCCTCTATCACCTTCCTCAAGAATGTCCCCATATCGGAAATCTGCAGGGCAGCAACCTGAGAGTCTGTGCATACCTTCTCAGAACACTGTGTGATTACTGGGGAGTCCGCTTCCAATGCTATATTAGGCTCTGCAGTATTGTCATCCATAACAGCGCCAAAGTCCCAGCTTCCCATTAGGGATACTTCTCAGGAGTCATCTACAGTGAAGCACCCATAGGGACACAACTCAAAGAAGAGGAAGTTACTCACCTTGTGAGCAATGATGGTTCTTTGAGATCTGTGTCCCTAGGGATGCTCCATGGCCCACCCTCCTCCCCTCTTCGCAGTTCTTGTCAAGGACTCTGCAGTAGAGAAGGAACCGAGCGGGATTCACCTGGGCATGCTGGTTGGCCTCCTGGTAGAGCATGAGGAGGTGACAGCGCATATGCAGGCTGAATGAACACTGCCACCAATGTTCTCCTATCAGCAGTGCAGGGATGCAAGTGCACCTGCCATGGAGCACCTATAGGGGGTCACATCTCAATGAAATATCATTACCCCACAAGGTGAGTAACTTCCTCTTCTTTGGAATTATTTACCAAAAAATATCTTTTTATTTTAATACTGGGACTCTTTGTAATGCATTATATAAAAGAAATGATGGTAAACAGTACTTTTTATTAAAATGGAAACTATTTAAAAAATAATTCTTGCTGCTCTGCTATTGAAACAGAATTTCTGGCAGTAAGATCAAAGTGTAGAAAAACAACAAAGTATAAATGAGGTAAAATCAAAACAAAAATTCTGTGATTTAAAACAAACACTTGTGGTTCTTAAGATCAGAGATAAACCAGAAGTTTGGTCACTCTAAAATTAGTACCTAGAAAATGAATTGCAGTTGTTACCATTTCCTTTTTGTCAATCAGATTCTACCAGTATTAACAGAGTTGCTGACACTTTGAATACCTCAAGTATCCATCGAGGTCCCAAGAGAGATCCCAGTGAAGAATGGAATGCAATAGCAAAGACTTTTTATGATTCTTCTTTTCCCACAGAACATGTAAGTCAATTAAAAATATTGCAGAGCAGACCTCGGTGAGCTAATTCCACAGATATGTGTAGAACTGTATGCATCTGGATGTTTTAAGACCTAGTCGATCTCCAAAATAATATCAAGAGGGCAACATGGCACCATTTTTCACAATTAATGTTGATAGAAAACAGCAGGAAAAAGTCACAGCATATAAATCAAGCAGATGCTAGCCAGTCTGTTTTGGGAGGAGAGGGTGAGGTAGTTCATTATGTACCTCAATAAAAATGATCACCTACAATATAGGAAGACAAGCATATTATGTTCCTTTTATTTGTTTACTTATCTAATAAAATAATTCAGAATATATATGAATTGCAATAGCTGTTAGCTAGTTTGTTCTATGCTGCAATAAAATATATATTGCTCATTGCTTTTGAATTTGTTCATTATCATCTTTGTTTGATAAGGCAGAATGTTCACATTGGTATACATCAATGTATGCATAAGCAGAGAATTAAAAGAGGAAACCTGTCATTCTCTAGGGTCAATTTGTCATATAAGAGGAAACTAGCCAGGCTTCACGTTGCATTTTGGAGATCTCTGTGGTACGTAACACTTTATGCAAAACCCTGAAGAAAAGGGCTAAGTCTGGTTTCTGTCTCAAAGAGACAAGTTCTAAAACACAATATTAAACATACCTTCAAAGGGTGATTTTTTTTGGTGACAACTTGTGAATTAACCATCTTGGACCTTCCATTTCGGAAATGATTACTGAGAAGATGGTGGGCAGTCAACTGGATCCTATTGGTCTGGTTTCAGGCCTGGGTATGTAGAGATAATTATACTGACATCTTCATGTGATAGACTACCAAGGTTAGAGGTCTACTGATTTTATTGGATCACATTCAATACTATTTCAGCACCATTTCAATACCATTGGCTCACTTGTTCTCTAGTAGCACTATTCCTTCCTTTTGGGTAAATCTCAAAGGGTTGTATTGAACAACTCAGCTGCCCAAAACACTACTTCCATGTTATCAGTATTCTTTTTCAACAAACATGAGGCCACCTGCGAAAGTTGAGTTGTTTTGGGCTGCATGCCCATCAGTATGGTCATGATACTCTTTTGCCTAACTCAGATTCCACTGTGTTTGCTCTTTCCAAATGTGACAGAGATAGGAATAAGGATAAGGATGAGCTGAAGTTAATGCTGCGTGGTAGAGAGAAGTACCTGGATAAATTGGCAGGGATTATATCCACTCCTTTTAAACAGTGGACATGCTATATCTGCCCTTAGTTAAAATAATAGACCAACATGTCTTAGCTACAGCAAGACAAGAGGTTGCAGCTTTTAATATACACACCTCTGACTGCATGTATACCCACTTTTGTCACTTCCAGTCTACACTACTGAACTGTGCTCTACCTAGGGCGATTCATGAAAGCCAAGCAAAGACTTCACCTGGGGGAGAACGTAACCGCTTGCCTTTGTGGATTAGACATATGTGAGACATAACTAGTGCATCTTGCTGACTTATGACTTCAGGTGCATTTCAAAGTGTTGAATCTATAAAGCCCCAGTCTGGGATTTTGCTTCTGCCTCTTCCCATTTGTTTTGGTATTACAGTTGTAATAAGTTATTTCCTCAAGACTAACTTTTATGGGCATAAAGAAGGGGAGCTGGAGGATTAAAAATAGTTAAGAGTTGTCTTGATCACTAACAACTTATACTGTTATCATATCATACTGTACTAGTTATGTGCTACAGCACGCTGAATAAATTGTATTCTAGCACAAACTAAATACATTAGTCTGGAAAAAAAAGGAAAGCTAGGGTGGTTTGTTTTTTGTTGTTGTTGTTGTTAGTTGAGCCCTTTAATTCTGAAACATTTCCTGCTCCAATTCATTAATTATGAGACATGTCTCATTCGCTGCATCTTGACAGGTAAAAAGCTGCACAACTAAGGTTTACAGGGAGAAGGGCTCTCTCCTGAAGACCTCCTAAGGTGCATGGGATCAGACACTCTGGATGATGTGAGGTCATTTCTGCAATATAGATTTTTTTTTTTAAATAAAGCAAACCTAGAAAAAATAGAGGCTGTTAAAGTTGGATAAACAGTCATAAACCAGGAAATTACAAGGTAAAAACCTTAATTCTGGCCCTTGTACCTATGCATCATAATAATATATGATCATTTAATTAGACTTTCTCAGATACAATACATACAGCTTTTCTACAACTTTAGGGCTTACACACGCTACCACTTACGTCGGTATAACTTATGTCACTCATGTAAATAAGCCGCCCCACAAATGACATAAATTACACCAACCGAAGCACTGGTGTGGACAGCGCTATGTCAGTGGAGAGCTTTTCCTGCCGACACAGTTACCGCCTCTCACAGAGGTGGTTTTATTATGCTGATGGGAGAGATCTCTCCCATTGGCATAGAGCGTATTCTTCAGATGCGCTATAGTGCTTCAAGTGTAGACTAGGCCTTAGATATACGTGTGGTATCTTGTAGTACTGTGTGTACCAGACATAGTCCAGTAGTCATTTCTATCAGAAGTAGATACATCATAGTACCATTTTCACAAAGCATACTGCAAATTAGGTGCAACAGCAATAGAGAAAATTTGCTGGGATACTTGAGATATTTCATAGCTAACATATATTTCATAACTACCTGACCCTCACGAATTATATGCAAGGATGTATGTGTAGTGGTTGAAAAAAACTGTATAAGATATGGCTGCTGACTAAATAAGCCATGTGTTTGGATAAGACAAGCAAGAATGTACCATATAAAAGTCTAAGTCAAGGATGACCTGGACCACCATAACATGGAAAATAGAATAAATATATACAAATGACAAAAATAGTACAAGATACTACACAAGTGCACCTAAGATTATGGGGGGAAGGGGGGAAATCGAGGAATTGTATAGAACAATGTATTAAGCATCCATACACTGTGCTTGCAATCAGAATGCATATGTGCATCCTTAACTCATTTCCTGACCTGAGTGCTTAAATGCGTAACATTAACATTCTCTTAATGACAGCTTCTATCAATAACAAGTTCCTGTTGAGCTTAATAGCATTTGTTCTATTTGTCACTAAGACTGACACAGCAATGCATGACACTCATTAGAATCAATCAACCCGGGTACAGAAATCTGCAGTTTTAAAGCATTTCTGATCCTTTAACATTTAAAAACCTAAATGATACAAATTTTAAATCCAGTGGATGGGATTCACACAGCCATCCAATATTTCAAACACACTGTAACATACCTGTATTAAATGTATGAGCTTCTACACATACTACCTACTGCAATTTATTCTCCAGGGCTCAAATGCTGGTCCCTCTTGGACTAAAACCCTAGTAAATGGCCTTGCACATGGGAACCTTACTAGCAATGCCAAGTGCAAAAACAATTCTCCTCCTGCCAGTCTAACATGAAGGTGCAGGTATAGTTCCATGCACAACCTAAATGGGAATTCTGGCTGGTGGAAGCATTGGCAATGGACAGTTTGCCTACAGTCCTTCAGGCCTGTAGAGAAGAGCCAGATCCACCGTTCATTGTCTTACATATAACGCAGTCTCTCTGCATGGCAGCCCACATAGTGAAACTGCAACAGTTTTGTTACATTTTGGATCTTACTAGAGATAGAAGTGTGAAGCAGCATTTGGCCATAAAAGAAATAACTATTATATTTTTCCATACTCTGAGATAAATTACTCTTATTTTAGTGTACAGTTGAAACATACTCACATAATTCCTTTTTAAATGCAAAAATGGTTATAAAAACACAAGAATGAGAGATAATGGGTCTTATAGGAGGTTAGGCCTTAGATATGTATTTTTATTTTTCATAATTATTTTAACAAGTGGTGTGGAGTCAGTGCCCTTACTGCTTCAAGAGATACTCCCTCTGCCTGTAACTGAAAAATCACCCTAATATATAGTCAAAAAGTGCTAGATACACCTTCAGTCAGATGGACAACATGTGCATGAAGCCAACTCCTTGAGACCCCATATGTCAAGGACTCACATAGCAGAACTGCAGTTCTTGGAAATGGAGTTTCAAACTACCACTCAGTGTGGCGCAGTAATAATCTGGCAAGCAGTTAAATGATTTGTTAATTCATTATATTTTGTCTGAAAGGTGAGCCGTGGACCAATAAAATGTCCCCACACCAAACCAGCTACAGGTTTGTAACACTTAATGTGTGCTGTGCAAAGAGTTGGTTTACTCTAGTAATTATCCACAACCACAGTAACTAGGACACTATTTCCATTCTATGTTATTTTAAAACAAAGTAAGCAGTTTGAACACAAGTAGTATATTGGGAAAAATGCCAAGTTTCTAATGGCTGATTCCACTTTCCTACTCCATTAGGAGTGGCAGTCCTCGGAAGGGAGAAAACAAAAGCTAAAATCTAAAAGAAAAATGTATAGTGCAGCTTTACTTCTATTAAATGTAGCCTTAGGGTTTACCATTGTTTTGTTTTGGTAGAAGGCAGAATGGAGTGCATAATTCAAGGGAGCAAATAACTTATTTTAAAAATTCTTGCAGGTTTTTTTTCTTAGGGGAAAGTGAAAAGGTTTATTAAAGATACCTACATTGTCTGAAGATATAACTTTGATCACTTACTTTATCATCTGTCAGTGTTGAATGCAGAAAACACTGTACATTCTTGAGTCGATCAGATGTGATTGTGTCTCTACCAAATGGTAAACACAACCATCCAAAAAACTAAAGGAAGAGCAAAAGGAGCTCTTAACAACATGAGGCCCATTTTTTCTCACCGACTGTCAGCTGAAGAATGAAGAGTATTTTTAAATTGTGACACGGACCACTACATAAAAATATCTCCAACTGGCATAATGTACATTAGCAAATACTTTGCTAAACTGCATACTTAATCCAAAATTGGCAGTCTCTCCCCAATTCTCAGAGAATATTCTGTATTTAAGTCTCAAATTAAGACTTCATTATTTTTATAGAATACAGTACATTTACTAAGACATTATGAAGCAGAATAAATTAAAACCAAACTATGCTTGTCAAATTAAATGAAATTAGTTTTGCAATGCATTATCCTCACTGTTAATCATGTCTGTTTCCTCCTTACTTGCTAATCTTCAAAATTCAGTAATTTGCACTGGATCTCTAGATACATCAAGTTATTCTGAGTCTAATGCATTTATAATACTACATTTTATTCTCTTAGGTCAAAGCAGGAGTTTCTGTATCTTGCCACCAGCAGAAGCTTTTCCATCTGGCTTCCAATGCAGACACACCAGTCTCAAGTGAAAGTTTACTCAGCAAGGAAGATCAGAATTGTGATTCTCATAACTTCTTTATAAAAAGTCAAATCAATGACACTGAAAAGTTTTTGAATTTAGAAAGGCTCCACCAGTCTAGAAAAAGGAAATATGAAGAAAGTCTAGAAAAAGCTGCGACAGGGAACAAAACAGAAAAATAATTCAATCTCTGAATATGCATATCATAGAAAACTTTGTAGAACTCTTCCACTGGAAGTAAAGAGGTGCATATTTTATTCTGTGGGTAACTCTAGACTGCAAACTCGACAATGATTCCCCCCACCCCAGTATTTTGATGTAACTGTATTAAAAGAAAATAGATTCCCTACATTTCTGCAATTAAAGTCCTTGCAAGTTGTTACAAAATTTTTGCTAGAAGTTAAAAATTTAAAACAAGTGTTATAAGTATATGTCTGTTAAGTGTAATTTGTGATGTATTTAAAAACTGTACCTCCTTCAGATGTTGAAAAATCGTAGCTGCAGGACTTTCTCGTTTCTCTGCCAGAATGAGCACTAGCACAACTATCTAACAAAAGGGACAAATGATGTCTCAGAATGGAATGGTTCCTACAAACTGTTATGACTCACTAACTGGCACAGGAATAAGAACGTCTGCTGTTTACATGTATCAGATCTTAAAGAGGAGTTAATTTTTTTTTTAATATCGTACTAAGTAGAAATAGATACAATCTGAATTTTAAAATAAATATTGCCTCTTAAAAGGTAAGTCATCAAATGTATCATTTACAGAGATAATAAGGTGGCAATTTCATAAAGATTTAATTTTTCTTTATCCAGCTGATAATCATTTCTCTTCTTTTCCATTTCCACTCACTTTAGAATTACTTGAATCATCATCCTACTGCTTCTTTCCTCCCTCCCTCCCCCTCAAAGAAAGAAAGGATTAAAATTGAGAGAACCAAAAAGAATTAATGCATAGCCAATATGGTCATTGTTCATTATTGTTAAAAATGCATTAATAAACTCAAGGTGTTTTCCCATTTTACTTTTATTGCTTTTGTAGCTCATAGTTGAGTCTTTAATTTCTTAAAACCAATTACACATATTTTGGAGACAAAAAAACTTCGAAGTTGTCAAAATGAAGTTTTGAATGTTTTTACTATGGTTTTGGAATCTGCTCTGAGGCAAACAAAAACAACGCAACATTCAGGTATCAGAAAGACTGAGGAGACTGTTTTTCACTTGATTCAAATTTTGTTTCCAGGAGTTAAGTGTGTCATACAATTGTTGCCACTGCTGCTTTCCAAAAGTCCGATGTGTGCTGTTACTATAGAAGTAAAACAAAATTGAAAAAGGGATTAAGACACAGCATTTTTGCTATGCAATGCTCTTCTAGAATACATCTGTTTTACTTCTGTACATTTCTAGCTAGAAATAAGGTAAATCTAATCCTCCAATTCCAAATTGAATATGGAAACATCTATTTTTAGTCTCTGTATAAAAGGCTTCACCACACCCACGCCGTAGCCTTCCCCAAGTATTTAAAGCTGCAAAAAAGTCATTAGTATTCTTGCCACTGTTAGGTCATTAAATGAAATGTGCTGGAAAATAGGACTCTCTTATTAAATAAGCTAATCACATTCAATCTGAGCTTTAATAAAATTATGATAAATAGCAACTATTTAACTACAGGCAACTGATAGGAACAATACCTTGCTTCTAGTTAAAATATTAAACAGCTATATTAAATGAAATAATTAGAACACACTAAATTGTTCTACAAAATGCGGCAAAGAATTAAGTCTTACCTGACAACTACTTTTCTCTGTGTCTGATCAATTTTGCAGTTCACCATCTTTGTCTTTACAGCTGAAAACAGTAAAACGATTTGAGTGATACTTTCAAGAGACAGCAAGGACATAAAATAGTATAAGCATCTTTAAACTCAAATTCATGTAAATATATACAAGTAATAACTTGCTGGATGTTACAGCCAACAGCGAAACAACAACCTGGTAGGCAGAAAAGCAAAGTGACGTAACAAGGTCATCCATGAATTCCTATGGTTTGGTGCCAATCTATTAAAGCAATATCCTGTACAGTTTTTATGAACTGTTCTCCCCTACAAACACATCCTGTTTTAATGACAGCAAGCAAAAACAGATGACAAATTAAACCTGCAAACAATTTATTAGTTCTATAAAGGATTATTTGAAATACAATTCCTGTCACTGAAAAGAAAACACTTCTCAAAAGTCAACAGTTGGCTAAGTCTTTAAATATGATGTTTCATACATGAATTTTTACATAAATTTAGAAATACAAATGGGGGGGTGGGGGAGCGCTTAAACCACATGTGGCTTGACAGACAAGTCTACATTAAAACAAGCAGTACCTTTTCATTGCTTAAGTTATAATATTCCATAGAGTGGTGTACGGAATTTGGCAAACTGCATGTAATGTTCTCTTAAAGATAACTAAGTATCTGTATTATAAGAATGGTGTATTTATCCAGCTTCTGTGTGTTAAACAACTGCCACTCATGTAAGACCCAAATCACATCTGTTCTAAAAATCCTCAAAACAAGGAATTAGTTTAAGGAATAAAAACAAATAGTCCCCATGAAAAAAATGTGTAAAATATAAGCACGCTAACTCTTCTTACCATCAATGACAAATGCTTCTACATCATCTGCTCCAATCTGAAGTTCCTGCTGCATTGTGTCAAATGAGATTTCTTTGTTTTCCACTGCCATTCCCATAAAAGTAAGTAATCTCATTTTTGCCATATTCTGCTCATGCAACAAGCCTGCACAACAGAGCGTTAATAGTTTATGGGTATGAATTATAATTTGATAAACAAGTTAAACTATTTTCCACGTTCTTTCTACTGCATATGCCTCAGAATAATTTCAAATTCACTTTACATCATTTGAGTAAATGTTCCCTATCTGGCTTTATCAACATTCCTGCATCTACCTTGTGCTTTACAAAGACACCCAATTTGCTCTTAGGTTCTTCTGGACCCAGTTATTGGCACTGAAAGTGCAGAAAAGTGCAGAAAAACAGCAAAATCTTGGGTCTTGATCAACTAGTGTACAGTCAGCTCACATCTCCTTGAAATGTAACAGAATTTAGATATTCCAAATCAGTTACAGCAGTGTTTCCCAATACGGGGGCAGAATGTCAGAGGATGGGGGGTAGACAAAATTAGTTCAAAGTACATCACCAGACAGAAGAGAAACGCAGTGGAACAGGGATGCCCAAATGACCCTAATGGTGCCCAAGCCCCCTCCCACTGCTACAATATCCTGAACTCTCATCCCCCTTGGTCCTCTTCCAGGATACACATACCCTGTGGCTAAGACTAAAACGGAAGGTGGCTCCTTGAAGGCAACTTCAGATTTTTATTTATTTATTTATTTTAAAAGAGAAATATATCCTGTTGAGAAAGTATATTAGCCTTAACAGGGGACTCCTCTCAAACTTCAAACAACAACAACACAGGACATCTAGTGGCAATATATTCCCAGACATGCAGAAATGAAAAAATAGTAAAGGAAATGGAAACATACCTATATTGGTACTTATATAGCCCTCACCACCATAGCACAGGAGGCGTCAGTCGTCAGTGTATTATTTTTACAACACTCCTGTGATGTAGGAAAATGCTACTGTGCTCATCTTATGGATGGGGACACAGGCACAGAGATTACATGACTTTCTAAGGTCCTTCACACAAAGTCTGGCAGAGCAGGGAACTGAACCAGGATCTCATGAATCCCAGACCAAGCCTTAAGAACTTCCTTCCTCAAGCAAGGCTTATATATGGCCCTTCCCCAACTGTCACACCTTATCTGGATATTCTGATTCAGCCAATCAAGTTTTTGGAGCTAAATTCTAGAATCTGCATAAAGTTTAATTAAAATTAACTTTAGTCACTTTAATCCAGTGTAATATAGATATTCACACTGCTCAGTAAATATTTAAGTTTGAAATTTATAACATCTGTATGCCAATAAAAGATCAGGGAAGCACATTATTACAGGACATCATGTTGTGTTAATTAGCAATAATTATGATGCAGGCTCCCTATCTGGCACAGATTCAACAAAAATGTGATCATCATAACTCAAATGAATGAATGAGAGCCACCAGCAACTATAGCTAACTGGGTGTAATGGAAATCTACAACCATCAAAAAAATCAATTAGTGCACATTAACCCTAATTAACAAATGCAAATGAGATGCTGATTAACTTTTTGGTGCAAGAAAGGTTGTTGATAACACCAGATTAGACGTGGACATGTTAGGGCGATTCAGTTGACACAAGATAATGCTACTATTGGCCTAAGTTGTCAGCATTAATAAAACAACAAATTGTAACAAACTGATGCCACCTGTAGGAGCCTTTATTGAACAGCTTTTACAGACTAATTTCATTTTTAATTCGTACTGAATCCAAAACAAGAGTAAAACAGAAGCAAGTACTCTATTAGATGCCAAAACTTACTACTTATAATTCATTTTACTCTGTTATTCACACTAATATTTATAGTTTCAAAGCATCATGCCTATCAAGAGGAAACAGCTAATTAAAAAAAATTCAGGAAAATAAGTTTAAAATGAAGCTATTTATAAAACTATAGCCAAATCTTCCTGAGAGATTTCTGTATCTTTTCTATCCCCGGAACGATTTTTAAAAGGTTTAGATTAAATGTGACCAGAAAATGTTGCTAGCATTGTAATTCAAAACTACTTTTATGTGTGTGTAGAGTCCTGGCCAAGACATGAAGAGATTCCTTACATAATTTTCTGACAGTTCAAACAAACACCAGGAAGTGAGAAAGCTCTTAAAATTGGACACAGATTACCTTTTTACCATTTAAAAATAATGTTCAGTTAGAAAACTGTAAGTTTTACAAGAATTAGCATATGTTAAATATACTGAAAATATCTACATTTTCATATTTAAGGTATTTACTGATTAAACCTATATATAGGAAAGGAAGCAAGAATAGTACTGACCATATTGGTGGGTGACCATAACACACAACAGATGCAAAGCATTTATTGTATATTTCAAAAATCAGCAAAAGTGCATTTTCAGCAATTATTTCTAGGAACAGACAAGCAACTTATTTATGGAGGTTCAAATATATGAAAATAGTTTAATGTATTACAAACGGTCTCTTTTGCACTAAGACAGCTCGATAGTCATTTGTATGCTTTTCTGATGTTTCAAATACACTCATGCAAATAGTAGCTGTGCTTTACTCTATCTAAAATACACAAAGTGTGGCCATCAAACAGCAGGCTCTCTCTTGTCCATAAAATGGAAGTGCATATTGATGGTTCTAGTCATACTTTTATATTTTAATACAAAGTACCAGTGCCTTACAGTTTTCAGTAAAATTATTCTCAGACATACTACAATCCATTAAACCAAACGATGCCCATGTTACGTTGCACTAAACTATGTTTTGTTTTACAAAACTATAACATTTTTCTTGAATACCAGTACTGTCTTCATTTAAGTGTCATTTCAAAATCAAAGTTATAAAAAAAATATTTTTTATGGAAACATTTATTCATTACCAATATGTCAAAACCTTAATGTAGTAATAAAAAAATCTGCATCATTGAGCAATTTCTGCATTGTCACTGACCCCTGTCCTAAAAAGCTGCAATATAGAAAACGTAATTTTACTGCATGCAATAGCTTATGAACCAGTGCTCCTTTGAAACAGTCAATTACACATCAATGGGGGAGTGTCAAAGTGTTAATTACTACTCCTTTTTTTCCACAGTGTGTAAATAAAGAGGGTGCTGACATTAACATTCCATTGCATGGCTTCATGTGATGAAACAAATTAACTGGGACAGAATGTGGTTTGCCAAAGCCGAATGCATCAGCAATGCACAAACATTTGCATCTCTATATATTATTGTACTTCACCCTTGTTATACTGCTAGGTGGTAAAGTTAAATCATTTAAGCAATAGAAGTTTAGAAGTAAAGGCAGAGGAATCCTCTTTTTTGAGCTATGAATAATGAAGTGCTCATGGAAGTACAGGACCAATAGATTCTTCCAGGTATGGTGTGGGTAGATACGATATAAGGTTCCTCGCACAGTTTTGTTAATACTCCCTAATTCTGACCTGCACAACAAACCAGAATCTTGTCAGCTGAACAAGGGTCAATCACACCAAAGCTTGGTGAGCTCTGAATCTAGAAAATGGGGACTAAGAGACTGTCTACTCTTGAAAGTTAATTTGGAGTAAGGTGTTGTGTGAATTCAAACTCTTATGGCTATTTCTGAATATAACTCCTTGTGTGACACTTATTTTGGAATAAGAATGCCTTGTTCCTGTTAAACTGAATCAGAAAAGGCACCCTTATTCTGGAATACGCCTACTAAATTACTTGCCATCTTGGATTTAAACAAGATGAGAGGCCAACTCTGACTGAAACATTGAGCCCTAACTCACTGTCACTTCGAACCCTACATGCGCTCTTAAGGCTTGTTTACTCTAGAAAGTTGCTATACCAGTATAGTTAAAGCAGTACACTTCCCTAAAGTGGCCGCAGCTCTACCACTATAAAGGTACTTTATACCAGCTGATATAGCTATAACTGAAGCGGTATATAATGCATCTTTCAGGTAACATTGTGTCCGCATTAGGACTTTTACTGATATAACTATTTTGGTTAAAAAAAAATCACCTTCCCTAATCAAAACAGTTATACAGGCCAAACTTTAGGACAGACCAAAGCTGTACTATTATCTGAATCAAAAGTGTTGCAGGGTTCATAAATACAGAACACACAAGATCTGCTCAGTGATTGAAAAATCTAAACAATTTCAGATGTGTATATGAAAAAATGCTTTGGTATCAAATTATTTAAAAATTAATGCATTTTTAAAAATTCTGTACACAGAGCACTCTTCAGAAGCCAGGATGAAACCTTTATGCTTATAGACTGAGCCCTGGTACCAAGGCTCTGAGCCATAACAGCATGGTACTAAGGCAACCATAGTTATAAGGCAGGAGGTCAGAGGATCCCCTACTGGTCTGGATGATACCCTAAATGTCACAGTAGATCAAGTCTTATAAAAAGTTTTGCATTGTTTTACTGGAGAAAACACAAAAGATGTGCTCAGTGATTTAAAATTTAAATCTAAACAATTTTGGTTCTGCATATGAAAAAATGCTTTTGTATCAAATTATTTAAAAGTTAATGCATTTTTTGAAATTATGCATCTAAAGCACTGTTCAGCATAAGCTGGTGAATTTTCTTACGGTATCCCATGTTCCCAAAAAGCACCACATTCCAGGGGTGTCTTGCCAAGATGAGGGCTTCACTCCAGCACCTCAAATGTGAATTTATAGTTTGTTATCCTAACTGTTTTGGATTTCTGGACAAATGTATCCTTTTAAAGCTCAATTTCTGATGCCTGTAAGAGAACTCTCTCTCATTCAGTCTTATGACATACAACTTATGACAAGTTAATTGTCCAACTACCACAATATAAAATGTGTAACGTGTCACAGTAACCTTCTCCCCTGCCCCCCCGCTGTTATTCATTGTAATTATTGTGTAACTGACATTGCCAGGTTATTGGGAGAAGTTACATGTGCACTAATGTAATGCAGTAAAAACTGTGGGATTATTTTGTAAATGTATAACTATTCAGAAGAGTGCAGCGAGAGAAGAGTTAGCTCTACTCAATAATTCTTTTCAGAGTAACAGCCGTGTTAGTCTGTATTCGCAAAAAGAAAAGGAGGACTTGTGGCACCTTAGCTCACGAAAGCTTATGCTCAAATAAATTGGTTAGTCTCTAAGGTGCCACAAGTCCTCCTTTTCTTTTTGCAATAATTCTTTGTGCTCTTTAACCCATTTTTAAAATGCGTTCTTAACAGAAGCTGTCAGCCCTTTATTACCCAACCACAAGCCACAATGCATTAAAAAATGGAACACAGGAATTACTATACTCAATTAGGTTATTGATGCATCTCATCTGGCACCATATCTCCATCAATGACCAGCATGAACTGCTTCAGAAGAAGGTGTAAACCCTCCAAAAAAAAAATCAACAATTATGCAACAACACGCCCATGAAGTAGCTTATTCCTAACCCCAGGTAGCTGTTTTATGTCCCGTAACATGGGGATTACATTTCCCTTTGAATTTATTATTAAAACTGTAGATGTTCTTGTGGATAAATGTCTAATACTTGACACATTCTTGTGGCAGTGAGTACCACAGATTAGTTGTGTGGTGAAAAAATCTATTTGGTTTATGATTTTAAAATTTGTTTCATTTTAATTTGTTTGGGTGCCTGCCTACATTTGTACTCATTTATATAATATGCTTATTCTCATGTAAGAAACTGGAATCCTAATATTTCAGCCCAATGTATCTTCTACTATAAGGGAGTGGAACCCAGTGTATGCTTTGATGCGTGGATCTGATGAAGTGAGCTATAGCTCATGAAAGCTCATGCTCAAATAAATTGGTTAGTCTCTAAGGTGCCACTAGTACTCCTGTTCTTTTTGCGAATACAGACTAACACGGCTGCTACTCTGAAACCGATAAAAAAAATTAAGTGGAGTTAAATGTCAAATTTAAAAACAACCTTTTATGTATCTGGCTCTCTCCATAACCATTTATATTCTCAAGACCAACTGGTTTGCTTGAAAACATCTGTTCCTGAGCTGAATATGAAAAAATGACACTGCTTTGAAGCTTCATAGTCATTATTGAGATAACTATCCATTTAAATCATACTAAGACTCTACTTGACCATCAAAAAACTAATATAAGTTTTCCTCCTCTGAAAGCCACCAGGCAATTCGTTATTTATGCTCAGGAACAAGTCAAATTTCTGACCCCCTATTCAGGTATTTAATTATTACAGTGATACTTCATAAATTTTAGTTTGCTTTGATTCAGCTTAGCACTATCGTATGTAAACAAATGTTTAGAGCAGAGGTAGTCAATTATTTTTTGTCAAGGTCCAAATTTCTTGGTCAAGGTATAGTCAAGGTCCAGACTCCAAAGAAAATAAAAAATCAAAAATGATAATAATAAGTAAATAAAAAGATTTCGGGGTCCATTCAAAAGCATCTGGTGGTCTGGATTTGGGGCACAGCCTGCCTATTGATTACTCCTGGTTTAGAATGTCACAAATTTCAAATTCTTGTACAACATTGAAGTGTTACCAACAGGTTTTTTAACGACTCCCTTACAATTACCACTACCTATGAAACACAGTACCTGAATAAGAGATAAAAGAAATCTACGGGCACTTGTCTTTCTATATACAAAAATGTATTAAAGCAAGTACCAGGAAAACATATTAAGATGTCTGACATGGGATTGCTCATAAATGAAGTTGACAAACACAGTATTTGCTGTTAGAGAAAGGAATGTACGAGCTCAAGACAAACTGTAGTCTTGTCCAAAGATGGATGGCTAGCTAAGAGGTCTTAACCTCAATGAATAAAGAACTTGTGGCAAAGGCCCCAAACTTTAAACCTGGATAAGGAAAGGAGACAGGTAATATTAACTCATTCTAGCTAAGAAAAAGCCACAATTAAATGTACCTCCAAGTGACTGAGAAAAAGTTTCTAAATATCTATAATTAAAACCTAGTACCTGTTAGGTTCAGTAGTCATCTGCCTCTTTGCGGACATCACTGTACTCTCTATACACATAAACCAGTAAGCTGTAATGTAGGGCATAGGCAGGACATGGAAGCGTGCCACAATTTATAATTCCACATCAGTTGTCAATGCACAGGCACTGAGCATAATAGGGGATGCCAGGCAACTTTTAAAATAAAATTAAAAAAAGATTAAGCTTTGAACCAACTGAGCAGGGAAGGCCGTTGACAGGTCCACATCCAAAGCCATAGAAAGAGTACTAGAAAGTCAGAAATGTAATAATTTAAAACTTACCAAGTGAGTCAATGAAGTCTTTGTTGTTCTGATAAAACTTGACATAGGATGCTAATTTAGCACTTACAAAAATGGTCAAAAGCTAAAGAAAAGAAGGAAAACCTCAAATATAAAAACAGTTTAACTAAATGTCATTACACTCAAACGGAACAGGTACCTCACGAGCATTTGCCCTGAAGGCACATGAAAAGGTCAGGTGCAGTTTAATGAATCTCTCTGAATGTACTTACAAAATGCAAATGGCATCAGAAAAAAAAAAGAATGAAGTTAACCATTTAGGGCCAACATCTGCCTCTAGATAATGACCACTCCCACTAACTTCAAAATGGACAATTTGTCTTGAGCTTGTTTTCCCAAAGCCTACCTATGTATCTGATGGCAAAATTTGGATCTTAGTGACAAGATTTCCTTACCCAAAGTGCACTTGCTTTAGTGATTATCTGTGAAGATCATATTCATCATCTTAAATTAGATTTGTACCCTTTTCTTACAATTAGTCTAAGAAAACAAATCGCAAACACATTTTTTAATTAACCCCTTGCTCAAGCATCTCTTGCAGTCCAATGGTTGTTGTTCCTGCATAGGATGCAGCTGAAGTAAGTCAACTTCAAAACAGATTAAATCAACAAAGAAAAAAAAACCCACTCAGAAGATGTCAAAACAACTTTTCTGAAAAACAAAGTTACTTACATCATGGATAAGTTCTCCTTCCAAAAATTTCACTGGTTTTAAGGCAAGAAGATGGTCAAAGAGAAAGGTATTTGGGTCCTTCAGTGCTCGGACAATACATCTAATTAGGGAAGGAAAGTACACATGGGCTACAATAAATAAATGCACTGCCAATTAAATTAGAATATTTATTGTGCGCTTCCACAGTGCTTTCTAGTGAATCTCAAAATGCTTACCAAATTATTCAAAAACAATAGGCTCGCATCACCATTGTGAATATGGAAGTATTTTTAACCCCATTTTAAAGAAGGGGAAAACAAAGTCACAGTGATTTGTCCAACATCATAAAGAAAATCTATGTCAGAGCATAAAAAAGGAACCAGATCAAATCTTCCTATCCTGTGCTTTAGCTATGGACTTGGTTTTTATTCCCTTACGTAACTTAAATTATTATATATGGGTAAATTATCTTTAATATCACCTATAAGCTTCATAGAACCAAGTCACTTTGTGAAGATGGATTAGACTCAGACATGTGACACAAAGCAGAACAAACACCAAGAAGCTTAAACATATTAAGATCCATAATTTATTAGTTGCAGCTAAAAACTTTAAACAGTCCTATAAAGTTTCTATAACTCCTGAAAACACACTTTTTGTTGAACTGCATGTTTAGTAATTATATTTACAAGTAACCAACCAAGTTTTAGGATAATATTAGCATTACACTAGGGCTTAGAAGTCCCAACCGAGATTGTGATCCCATTGCATCAGGCACTTTTCATTTACTGTAAAAGACAGTCCACGCCTGGAAAAGCTCAGAGTTTGAAAAAACAAGACAAATAAAACAAGTGGAAGCAAAGAAGTGTTAGGATTATCTCACTTTACAGATAGAGAAGGGAGGCATCCTAGATCTGAATGCCTTAACCTCAAGGCTACCCCTCTCTTCTCAACACTGCTAACAGGTAAGAACAAAAGTACTTGGCCACGAGACTATAATACACAAGCAGAAACAAGTATTTGATATGATAGTTTGGTCTTTAGGGTATGTTTTTTGTACATAGATATGGGTATTTGGTGCTAGTAAGTATACAAATGTTAATTCAGTAATATAAGCAGATCCGGTATCAATGACTATAGTTAAGATTGCCTAACACTCTCTATTATGAAAACTTATTTTCAGATGCTCTAATTTTGCCAAACTTTAATCATATTGGCTGAAAATTCCCATGCCAGGTCTCTTCCTCAGACTGAATCCCTCCCCTGCCCCCCTATTTCAGTGAAAACAGTTCAGCCATTTTAGAGAACAAGATTAAGAAAAACAGATAGTTTTGACAACGTTATCCCCCCAACCCAGCTGTTTTGCTGAAACTCTATATTTCCATTCTTCGGAACAAGAACTTGAAACATGGCAGGGGAGAATCTTATGGTCAGAGAGGTGCATTTCTACTCTTCCTGTGAAAACTAACACAGATCTGGCAGACTTAAGACTCTGAAAAAAAAATCACAATTTGCACATGCTCAGTAGAGCTTGTTAGTGCTAAAATCTCCAAACATGCTAACTAAACTGAGCATGCTCCTAACCCCCGCATTGAGCATTTTGGAAGGAAGAGACCAAGATGGGTTGGGCTGGAAACCAGGAGGAGACCATGAGTTAGTTCTGGTTCTCCCACTGGTAGTTATTAATTCTATGCACTTTGCAACCATCATTGCTGAGCAAGGCCTCTCATCTCTAATTTAGGAGGCAGTCAGACAACATTCACCCATTTTACAAATAAGATAACAGATGACGTACTTCTTTTTTAAAAGTTTGCTTTTTAAGAGTGGGGGAAATTACATAAAAATGCTACTTTTGAAAAACATTAAAGTTGAAAAGTCAAGCACTCAAGAGTTAGAATTGTTGCAAGAATTCAGCCCTCTCACATGTGCTACAATAAGTCTTTAATTACACGATCACATGCTGTTTGTTCTACAGCATCCTGTGCACAGAATGAAACAGATAGCTGCAAGAGAAAAGAGGATTGCTTATGTTTAAGGCACTGGACTGAGATCCTGGAGAGCTATGTCCTCTGCATCTCAAATTGGTTTCAGGATTGTGAGCTGTGATTAGCTACACATCTCCTTTAATCACATTCTAGGTGAAGGATTTTCTAGTGATCCATAGTGTGGTGATCCATGTAGCTGCTCCTGTTAATATTCTGAATTTAAATAACTTTACTGAGTAGATCTGAGGGAATGCTACATTCCCCAAATGTAATGAGGTTATCACATATATCAAAAGTTTTTGTTAGCTTTGATGTATGTGTGACCAAAATGTTTAAATCTATGGGTACTCACAGAAAAATGGGCATGGTATGACCCTATTTGCTCACAATCTCCAGAAGATGTTAGGATTAAATCGATTTATGAACAAAATTGAACTACAGCATCCACTACAAAAAATTAACTTCCTCAATTTATTGCATAAGAATCAATGTATGGTAATTTACTCAGCGAGAGCAATGAAGGTGACCAGCAGGTACTTCTTAAGAGTATCCCATAACAATAAGACACTACACTGAATGAACTCAATAGCAAGGATGACACTTTTCACAATATTTTGAATATAACCTTTATAACCTTCTTTCTGTGTTATCCAAAGCCATGGAATGGTGTCTTGCACTCCATGAGACCTCCCAGCATACCCTCTGGGGAGTGGTGAAAGCTCAGAAAAATGGCCTTTTATAAGAAGTAGATAATTTTAAAAGAGTATTTCATCCTTCACAAAAACATGCTGTTCCCTCTGCTGCCGACAAGTACTTCCTGACCTCTAACCCTCCAGCAACAAGCCAGCGCAATCCCGTGCGGTTTGAGACCAATAGAATATTGAAAGGTAGGAAGACTCGCAAAGGAATCAGCTGAACATGCTCTGTGGGGTTTAACAAAGCTTTGGCATTTAAAAGTCAGTTGTGCAACTGACTTTTCAATGCTCTCATTATTTGGGGCACTAAGCACATAACCATACAAATACTGCATTACAAGTGACCTTCAAGGAAATCCAAGAGTTTCATATTACCTGTGAGCATCAACTCTAGCCTGGGAAGCATTATCCTCTGTGTAACTTCCCAACAGTTCCACCATTATTTTGGCTGCAGCGTCACTATGGGGGGAGGGGAGAGAAAAAAGTGTTACCTCTGGAATGCTGAAAAATAATTACAAGCTACTCAAATATTTAAATAACGCCATTATGAAGTTATAGTTCACCTGAAATTGTATTTGAAAGGATGTGATCAATATTAATTGCAGTGAAGAGGACAAATTAGCTAAATGTATTCATTCAATTGTGGTTTTACAAAATGTTTATCTTCACCCTTCATTTCATTCTCTTAAACTGATAAATTACCTGCTAGTTATGGAAAGCTTTCCTAGCTGGGAACCGCTTCACGTGATTCACTAGAACACTCTTTTTACACACATCTGGATCTAATCACTGCAGAATAAGTAGTACTGCACAGTTTACTTCAAAATGCAAGATGGCATATTTAAAGAGCATTTATGGTCAGAAAAGTGACTATGTAAAAGCAGCACCTTCTTACTTAACAGATCTGTTCTGTGAGCATTCAGAATGACATCTACTGACTTTAGTGTCAAAATTAAGTTTTTACTACTTTTTGCTCCTGTAAATCTAGCAAAGCAAATAAAGCTGAGGGTGAGCCAGATTGTTCTCTCACTCACATTCACACAATTAAGTTCCAATTGCAGAATTTTTATTATTGGTCATGATGTGGAAGTCAGATAGAACTCAGCTTTGGTTTGCCAGGCTTACCTTTAGAAAAAATCTTTACTAGTAAACTGAATAAAACTTGAGATGAAAAGCTGTGGTCTTGTCTACACTGAAGGTTTTGGTGGGGTTTTTTTTGTTGTTTTTTTTTAAACAACATCCTACCAGCACTATCAAAAAATGGAAATGCTAGTGCAGACCAGTTCCTAATTAGATGATGGAGTAGTAAACACACCAGTGATTGATGTATATGCTAGTGATTTCACCACTGCTAGCTGTAGCGAAGCCACCAACTGCTGGAGGTTTCATGAAAGCTTCAGCATAGATGGATATAATACCATTTCTATAGTCACCTTTCAGAAGGTATAACTACACTATAAAATAAGAGAAGCGGTTTTCCACATGGACAGAAGGTTTGACCTTTTCTTTAATGACGCAAACCTTCTGAATGAGTCACTGAGACCTGGAGGACATTACCAATAACAGAATTTAACCAATTTTGTGATTTCTACCCATGAAATCACTAACAACTCTCTCCTGAAACTATCTTACTACTTGCTTTGAAGGGGCTAATCTACATTTGGAACCAAATCTCAGTAAGGAGGATACTAATTCTTGCACTTTTCTGAAAAGTGTCTAATACATTCATGAAAAAGATTCATTCTCCCTTCCTTCCCTCTACACATAACACTGGGGATCCCTTATCAATCTGCTCTATTTTGCCTGTTAGTAAGAAGCTCAAACTGATTATTCTAACCTTCAGAGTCTCAGAGTATTTTTGTAACATGAAAATCTGAACATTTCCTTTAGAGCAATTCCAGGCACTGTGGATTTCCTTCTGTGATAAATCTACTTGTTTCATTTAAGAACACATTAGAATATCTGCAGATTTTTATTAATGGAAAGCCTCAGATTGCAAGGTTTAGCAGTATAGTCAGCATATAACTAGTTACCTTTAACCATGAACTCTGAACAAGTCAGAAAGGGCAGAAACTGAGTGATGAATTGTAATCACCCCGGGCAGTGTTGTGATACCATCCACATATGCCTAGCCCACAGGGGGCTCAGGTGAGAAGTGTTTTTGTATTTTTATAGCACTCCTCTTTTTTGCGTTATGTTATTATTAAGGAAAATAATATTCAAGAAGACACCTTGCAAAGCTGCCACTTATTAGATCCTCTATAAGAAGAGGCTTCAAGCTCCCACAGAATTCTGGCATGATGAGAAGCAAGAGATAGCTGATTCAATCTGGAGATGGATGAAATGGGAGAACACACCTCTTTTGCCCAAGGTGTTGTGTACCCAGCGGAATTTGCCACAGAACTGCTATTGCTGCAGAATTTTATTCCATGATCAAAGCTTACTTTTTTTTTTTTAAATTAAGATTCTAGCCCTTTTTGGTTGTGAATACAGGTGGCTCACCTTTGGAAAATCAACTGATGAAGTGCTGTCTGCATAAGGGCTAGTCTACATACAAACTTGCACCAAATTAACAAAAGGTATAAATTAAAAGCTTATCTAGGCATTTTCATGCATTGAAAATTGTCACTTTGGAAGACAAGTGGTTTAAATTGTTATGGCCAACATACTACCTGTTTGCATGTAGACTAGCCCCAAGGCAGTGCCTACATTAGAGATTTTTGCACTGGCAAAGGTACATCAACGCAGTGAACCAGCATAAACAAACACCTAGTGAAGACACAATGAATCAATTTAAGATGAGGTTTACTGTGTGTAGACAACCTGAAATAATGGCTGAGAGGCATGAACTGCCCCACGCATCTCAGAAAGCTGCTATCTATAAAACCTAGTTATGAAAATTTAGGCCTTGCCTTCACTGCTAAAAAAACATACGTTTTTACTAAAGCACCTGAGAGAGCCCAAGTTACACACTGAAGACTAGATACTTTAGTTTTAACATCAGGCAAACTTGCTGAGGTCAGCCCTATACATGCATCTATTTTAGCAACAAAAACAAGGCCTCAAATGGCAACAATGTTAACTATTTAATTGCTGATCATTTTAGTAGATACATCCAGCTAGTGTGCTTATCTCAAACTGCCTCCTACAACTTCCCAGCTGCCAAAAGCGCCATTTTCCACCCACCTGCCAAGATTTCCACCGATAAATTATTTTCAATTCTGCAGCACTTTGAAAGTGAAAAAATTAGAAACTAAACTAAAATTAAAACTCACAAAGAATACTGTTCTGGTTGTAATATTTTCATATTTAACATAAACCTCTATTTTGAATTGATCTGATCTGCTGCAGAATTTAGGACAAGCTTGCTGTGGAACAACAGAGCCTTGCTCTTATCCTTGCTATAGGGCATTTAGCTCATTTTAGAGAAAATATTTGCCGCTCACTTTTTAGAAAACAAAAGATTTTTCACTTGTACTTCCAGAAAATGTAAAATTAAGAATTTCAAGAAATTAAACTCCCTCCCCTCCAATCTTTTACGTTCCCAAAGTACAGCAGACATTTCTGCCCTATTTAATTCAGTTCAATTTTGGACCGTGGATATAAATTTGGGTGCTGAACGTGGCAACATACATGTCAACATTTTACAAAAGCTCTCTACAATGCTGTACATCTCCTGTGTTGTGCACACTTGTATTTTTGATATTCTTCTGGAAAGATGACCCAGGCAAATACTTTCAGCTGCACTGGCCAATCTAGATGCATAATTAGACAAAAAGTCAATGGGAAGGAAGTGGCTGAAACCAGGAATAACAGAGAGGTGAGAAGGGGAACAGAGTATATAGGGGGGTTTAAACAAGATTTGGAAATCACAAGTCACTCTACATTTTAAAAATTCAGTGGGAGGATACAACTAATGATCTTGCAAGATCTGTGCTGAGTGCTTCCTTGGGAGCACCAGCAGACTGGAAGAGAGGAGAGTCTGCTATGCCAAGCAGTTTCACTCTGCTACAGCTGGGTAAGCGCTAGGTGCAGCAGCAGCTAAGGCACAGAACTCCACTGGAGAATCTCTGCAGGAAGAGGCACAAAGAGCAGGGGGGAAAAAACCATCTCCCCAACAAAATTCAGCTACCAATAAAGATCTCAGCAATAAGGCAACCCCTGCCATCTTCCAATTTTCCTCAGTTCACCGTGGAAAAATTAATATTATTTTCTTACTCCAAGGACGCCCGATGATTCTTGAACACTAGAAATAGGAAACTTCCACCAGAAAGTAGCAGGAGTCTCACTTATTACTGTGGGATAGAAGTGTACATGTTTAACATCTATATTTAAAGTAGCCTTCAGAAGTTACTGGAACTGTACACTCTATGGTCATACACTATGGAAGATCCATTAGCTATACATATCAATCCATCTTACAACAGCTGGTGAGACATCAGAAAGTTAAAAACTTCAATTCTCCTAAATAATTATTTCTCCATTTCCTTTGATTAAAAACAGACAAAGTAATTGAAGTATGACTTTATCACTTAATTTTTCCATTCCCATTTATCTTCTCATACTGCTGGGTCTAGCAACATTCCTGAATGCTAAGGCTGGAATGCTGCTTTGAGTTTCTCAGAGTATTGCAGATAGTGCCTGCCCATTGATCCAGGAGAATGATCTAGGTCAAAGGTCACTCTTTATTTTCTTTCCCCTAAGAAGAATAAGGTGCTCTGAAAAATTGCCCTATTGATTGCAAACTCTGCACTGACCCAGATGGTAGTGCCATGCATGCAGGAGTTTGTGAAAGATATTTTAATGCTTAACTCTATAGTGCAGATATTTTTTACGATTTTGGTGGTAAAGTGGAATACATTACCAAAACCAAGACAATTTAAAGAAAATTAATTCATATACAGATTTGATAACTAGCCAAGTTAGAAAACAGTTAACTGTTTAAAAGACAATTGGAGCCAATTTGTTAACTTCCTCTTCAATTCAAAGATCTACAGGTGGAATTTGAAAATGATAATGGAAAAGCAAGCTAGTTCGATTGCAAATAGCTTTTCTTTTAATTAGATGACTTAAATGGATGATCCTTTATATCTTGGCTAATTTTTAATAACATTTGTAATGTTTGCAGTCAGCTAATTATCGTTTTGCTTTAGAAAAACATAGGGCTCTATAATTCCATTGGCATAAGCAGTTTTTACAGAGTAGAAATGTATATTAACTCAGTACTTTCCAAACATAAAGCATAGACTCTTCATTACATACAAGGTCTTTGGTTAACCTCTCAAAGAATGTATAAGTATTATTTTGGCCACCTGAGAACTGTTATATAGTATCATCCTGGAAAAAGTATTCTAGTGAAAATGGCTGAATGAATAAGAAGTTGAATGAAGATTATGGCTCAGATCCTTGGCTACATTGAAGGCAATTTTACACTACAATATCACTGTAAATCATCCCTGATACCAGCTTAGCCACTCTTGGGAGCCTTACCCCAATTTAGGGCAGGATCCCCCAAATGACAGCCAACATAGCAGTTTCCCAACATCCATGACCAGTGGAACCCATGAGTAGTTGATCCCTGGTTGTCATATGTGAAATCTAGCAGTTTATACAAATTGAAAATCATTCCTCTCAAAGATTCATTTAAATACAATATTTTTTGCCCTCTTCTTGCAGCAGGGCATGTAGCAAAAACCATCACAATCACGCTGTCCTCCCAAAAAACTGACCAAAACCTCAAACCTTTAATTACAAATATTTTAATAACCTCAAGTCCTTTTTAAGTAAGCGAAGGAGATGGATACCGAAAGTGTGTGCATAATATTCTCAGGGGCTGTGATAATAAGCATAGTAAAATAAGATGCCTGCTTGTCCACAAAGATAAAGAGGGCTGTCCATCGACATAAAGGAAATGAGTGTTAAAAACATACCAAAAATCCTGAAACTGTTGTGTAACAATTCTTTATTTCAATCTGAATGAAAAAAAGTTTACTTTTGTGAAGGCAAGGTTTGTGTCTCTTGTTTATCCTTTCTTATCAGTAAATGTAAAGAGTTATTCTGACGTGTACAAACAAGAGCTGCTGTCAATTTATTAACACAAATTAATTTGCAGGTAGACTGTACAGAATTACATAAAATGTCAAATTATTTTGGTCAGCCTACTTCATTAGATCAAAAAGAAAAGGAGTACTTGTGGCACCTTAGAGACTAACCAATTTATTTGAGCATGAGCTTTCGTGAGCTACAGCTCTCTTCATCGGATGCATACCGTGGAAACTGCAGCAGACTTTATATACACACAGAGAATATGAAACAATACCTCCTCCCACCCCACTGTCCTGCTGGTAATAGCTTATCTAAAGTGATCATCAGGTTGGGCCATTTCCAGCACAAATCCAGGTTTTCTCACCCTCCACACACAAATTCACTCTCCTGCTGGTGATAGCCCATCCAAAGTGACAACTCTTTACACAATGTGCATGATAATCAAGTTGGGCCATTTCCTGCACAAATCCAGGTTCTCTCACCCCCTCACCCCCCTCCCAAAAACCACACACACAAACTCACTATCCTGCTGGTAATAGCTCATCCAAAGTGACCACTCTCCCTACAATGTGCATGATAATCAAGGTGGGCCATTTCCAGCACAAATCCAGGTTCTCACCCCCCCCCCCACCCCCATACACACACAAACTCACTCCTTTTCTTTTTGCGAATACAGACTAACACGGCTGTTACTCTGAAACCGTTCATTAGATCAGACTCCTATTATGATCCCCAATGATTTTTTAAAACAATTCAGCAGGTATTATATTAACATTAATTCCCATGTCTAGTGCAAAGCTTTGTCTCGAAGGTAATGTTTATAACAGCAGACTGATTGTGATAACTTTGATTAATAGACACTCCCCCAACCAACTGAACAATAGAGATGGCACTACACACATTTTAAAACATCAAAGCTCAATTAAACAATAAACTTGGCATAATGCTATCATTTCGAGAAGGAAAGCAAAAGTTTTACTTTTGTAAGTTTATAGCTTTCAATCAACCCACTAACTTTAGTATCTTCTAAGAAAAAACAGTTTAACTTAAAATTAAAAGAGCTCTTAAATACTAGTTTAAGATGTAATAAAAGTACGTCCAGATGTATTCGATGAGATTTAAAAGATTTACAGTAAAGAATAGTGTAATGAAAAACGATTTCCCCCCCAAATCTTACACTATATACTAATTTAAAACTACTGAAATTCTCTAGTCTCTTATTTAACTCAACATACCTCTTCTTGCAGTCCACCAATGCATCATACAGCAGTCTCAGAAGAGTATGTTTTTTCTCTGTGCTGAGATTCCAGTCAGAAATCCACTTTCGAACCTTCATAGAAAACAATTAAAAAAAGTGTTGCAAACGTTTTCTGAAGAGTAATCTGACTGTTAACGTTAGAACTACAAACACTGCCCACTTAAACATGACCCAGGCTCTCCTGAAGAGGAAAAAGAATGACGGAAAGGATCTTTCCCAGAGATCCCTGTCTGGCTCTTCTGGGTATTCACTCTGCAGTCCAAAAATCAGGAAAGTGCACCACTGGAGGGCCAGAAATCAGTACCTCACACCCTCTTCCTAAAGGAGGAGAGTGGGCTTACAGATCTCTGCCTCCATAGTGAGGGACATCAAACTAGTGTCCCAAAGCTGGTTACAGCACTTTTCACACACCCTGCATATTCAAACAAAGCTCAGACAGATCTGATGTGTTTAACATCAGGGAGAGATGTTTACTTTCTAGTTTGCTATGAAGAGCAGTTTGACTTCGATTATAGGGACAAAAACTTTTAAAATTCAAAAACCACAGTTAAAAATTTGGTTTTTATTCCAATTGAGCTTGATAATTTTTAATAGTGATAGCCACTATGTATTACCTCTGACTACCTGCGTACAGTTAATATAGAAAATAACTAGTGACACCACATCAATTACCTGATCTAGTTCAGTTGGAATGTACTGAATGGCACCACATGCTGAGGCCACTTTAATAAGGCTGCAGTAGACTGTATATCTCACAGGAGTATTCTTATCCATACCGTGGAAGAGATTGCTCAGCCTAAACCACAAAGAACAAATCAATTAACCCTAGCAGGTTTGGCAATTAATGAGGTGAATATGTGCAGACACCAATGTGTCCACTGACATGTGTACTAGTATATAAAATGTAAATCTGTCTAACCACCATTAGAGCCCTGTGTGGATACAAAATTTATATCCACGGATATAAAGCAGATATCCGCAGAGCTGATGGGCTCTAGCAACAACGAGCGAGACCAGCGCGGCCATGGCCAGCAACTGGGTCAAGAACTGCAGCAGCAAAAGCAGCAGCAGGTTGGGCCACCACTTGTAGGAGCCAGCACCCAGCCCAGGCAGCTGCTCTGGTGCGGCTGGGCCGTCCCCAGCCCCATCCATTGAGCCAGACACCAGGCTCACTGGCAGCTGTCCCTGGTCGCACTAGTGTGTGCAAGCGGCTTGCATGCTACCAGACAAAAGTCCCTTCCACACAGCAGTCCAGGAATATGCGAGTTGCTTGCGCATACTGGTGTAACCAGGGACAGCTGCCGGTGAGCCTGCTATTCTTGCTAGTTGTTGCTATAGCCCTGCAGCTCCGCGGATAGCCACGGATATAAATTTTGTATCAGCACAGGGCTTTAACCACCATCATCTCAGTGCTAGGACAGAGATGACAATGGCTTACTGTTTTATAGCACCTTCCATCAGAAGATCTCAAAGCACTCTAAAAACATTAATAAATTTAGCCTCAGAACATCCCAGTGAGGTAGGTAGGTATCCCCACAAATGGGGGAAAAGAGGCAAAAAGGTGACAAAAATGCAAGGGTCACACATGTACAAAGATTCAATAGAAGCCAGTTTTCAATTCCTATGCCTGTACTTAAAAACAAAAAACAAACCAAAACACACACACACAACTATCCCTCCTCCTGAAAGGAAGGATATTTTATAAAATATTTTAGTTCCCCTGATCCCTAAGGGATACTTACAGCTGCAGCCTCAGAGATGGACGCTCGCCTTCCCGAAATTTTACCAACTTCTCACACAGGCTTTCAATTAAAGCTTCTTGTTTGTCAGGTTCCAGGATAAGAAGCAGAGATACTACACTGTTCATTACACTTTCAACATCTATACATAAACAAAACATGCATCAACTTAACGCTACAGGCAACAATTACTTCATCAATGCTAGAAATGCTCCTGCCACTAATGCTTATTTTGTCTCCCCATGACATACTGGAAAAGGGCAATTCCAGCCTCATAGGCTTTTTACAAAATCAGTTATTAAACTGGACAAATATAATGTGTGTGACAGCAGCTCAGTTTAACCTGCAATCCCCTGCCAGCGTATCTCAACCCTATTTATTTTCCACTTCTAGGGTGGAAAGAGAATTTGGTCTCCATGACATCAATCTCGATATTTTATGGGAAGCCAATGTAAATTAAAAGATCTCCATCCCTATCTTCAAAACACTCAATGGCTTGGGTTCAGCACATCTAAAAGATTGCCTAAAATTTCAGAATGAGACTATGATCAACAACTCTGTACCTCAGGCACAATGGTACTTTATCACAAGAGTAAAGCTGATCTGCCAAAGACAAAGCTTTTTCAGGAGTCAGTCCCAGACCGTAGAACGAACTCCCACAGAAACTAAGGACCATCAATAAAGCTCATTTCCTCTGCAAGTGCAAGGTGCACTTTGACTTATCTGCTCTAACAAACATACAGTGACATGTCCATATATATTTTAAAAACGTACCAAAACACTACACTGCAAACACAATCCCCCCTTCACTCCCCCCTCCCCCCGGGAGAAGATAAGAGGAAAATTAACTACATGTGACAAATGTTTATTACATTGCTTAATGCACAACTGGAAGGCACTCAAATAATAGTGATAAGAGCTGTACAAGAACCTACAAAGAATATGATTCTCATTGAGACTGCCAACAAGGGTGCCAATTAACGGCAGCCATAGCTGCAGTTTGTGCTATGGACACCTGCTCATGACAACACAGACCCAAGAGCACCTTGGTTTCTGAGCAGCCAAGAGTTTGCAACAACTTTCCATCACTATCTACACCGGAGTAGTAAATCCCCTGGTTCGCCCAGTCCTTGCGCAAACTATTTTTAATCTCAAATACCCTGATGGCCAATAAAAAGATCACTATAATATTCCAATTCACCAGACTTACTAGAATGCCAAAATGGAGATGAGCGTTCCCAATATTTATCTTCTGGGATTAACTGTACACCCCAAAAAGCAATGTAAAAAAAAATATTAGCTTCCCCATGACAAGCATGGCAGACTATTATGAATACAATCTTCTCCAAATAAGGCTACTTCAGTTTAAAAAAGTATGGTCATTCTGGCTATAGAATTATAGGGTCTGTCCATATATTTTACGTGCATTTGTCTGCTGCAAGATGCTAAATGATCAATATTCATAAATATTCATCCCTAAATGAATCCTCACCCTTTCAAATAAGACAGGCATATCAGCTATCAATTTTGTCACACCTAAAAGATATAGCCATATACAAAGAATATTTTAGAATATAGGATGCACAGAAACTCAGGTAAGAGTCATAGTACACTTAACATTTATTGCAATTAGTACTGCATCCTGTCGAAAGGTCTCAGAAGACAACGTTACATTTCTAGGGCAGGGTTAACTGATTTAGTTTACCCTCAACGTTAACAGTTACTTGCATCAAATTTCCTCATTCTTCTTAAAGTTATGCTGCTACTTACTTGAATGGCTCTCCCTGCTCTTAACCAGCAACAAATCTTATTTCACCACTTATTTTTTAAATGGAAATTGGTTTTGTACATGATTAATCACCCATCTCAGACACAGTCATAAGAACATAAGAATGGTCTATCCAGCACAGTATCCTGTCTACTGACAGTGGCCAACGCCAGGTGTCCCAGAGGGAGTGAACCTAACAGCATCTCTTTCCTGCCATCCATCTCCACCCTCGGACAAACAGAAGCTAGGGACACCATTCCTTACCCATCCTGGCTAATAGCCATTAATGGACTTAACCTCCATGAATTTATCCAGTTCTCTTTTAAACCCTGGTATAGTCCTAGCCTTCACAACCTCCTCAGGCAAGGAGTTCTACAGGCTGACTTGTGCTGAGTGAAGAGGAACTTCCGTTCATTTGTTTTAAACCTGCTACCCATTAATTTCATTTGGTGGCCTCTCGTTCTTATATTATCGGAACAATAACTTTTCCTTATTCACTTTCTCCACACCACTCATGATTTTATATACCTCTATCATATCCCCCCTTAGTCTCCTCTTTTCCAAGCTGAAAAGTTTCTAGCCTCTTTAGTCTCTCCTCTTATGGGACCCATTCCAAACCCCTAATCATTTTAAGAAAAGGAGTATTTGTGGCACCTTAGAGACTAACAAATTTATTTGAGCATAAGCTTTCGTGAGCTACAGTTCACTTCATCGGATGCATCAAATAAATCTGTTAGTCTCTAAAGTGCCACAAGTACTCTTTTTCTTTTTGCGGATACAAACTAACCCGGCTGCTACTCTGAAACTAATCATTTTAGCTGCCCTTTTCTGAACCTTTTCTAATGCCAGTATATCCTTTTTGAGATGAGGGGACCACATCTGTACGCAGTATTCAAGATGTGGGCTTACCATGGATTTATATAAGGGTCCAAACTATATTTCCCATTTCTTCAAAAGGAACTGCATGTCATCAAGAGACAGGACTGAATACAGACACATTTTGCCTTGTTTGAACTACCACACTGAAGGAAACACATTTCTTCACCACTGTGGGAAATTCTGCCCTTTTGTGGGTTAACAAGAGCCTGTTGTACTGTAATAATGTTGACACTTCTACTGAATACAGTCTGTTCATGTATGAGTCTTTATGTAGTGAAGGCCATGGAACAGGTTTCCAAACCTTGCCAACAGTTATCTGAGAGGGTGTCTGTGCAAATGATTTATTTTGTCTTCTTTTGTGTCTGCATTATGCAGATTCAAAGAGAGGAGGCAAAGAATGGCTTAACTCCCACGGACCACTACACCATGTGCCGCAGAGACTAAACACTGCCTTACATTGCCTCTAAGTCTATTTGTGAATTTACACCAGCCAAGGACAGGGTGAGTATGGTATCATATCACTTTCACTGTAGGTGAATAACCTCAGTACATAGCAGTTTCAAAGTTCCCAGCTGGGATTCTTCTATTACTGACAAAAATTAATGTTCTTGTATGGGCTGGTCCCTTTAAAAATTTAGGGTGGGATTTTCAAAATCTCCCAGCACTGGCCTAGCTCTGTTCCCATTTAATTCAACAGGCGTTTTACCACTGATTTCAAATGGGCGCAACACTGAACACTTCTGAAAATCCTACTTAATGCATAATGACCTTCCTATGAGTACTCTCTCTATTGGTCTCTCTGCCGTGCAAGTGCTCTATGTAACTTAAGGTGACTCACAAGCTCAGTCATCATAAAGTTCCTGAATATGCTAATCAAGACTATCCATACCAAGACTTTCAAAGACACAAACCTTTATCATCCTCCTTTAGACATACATCACAGACTTCAATAATCTGAGCCAAGTCACTGTGAAGTCCACCTTCAGAGTTCTCTTCGGAGATCTCAGCTCCTTTAGATTTCAGATAAGCTCGAAGTTCTGCAGCCTTTTAAAGAAATAAAGAAACTAATACAAATGTACATACTACTAGCAACATCTTATTGGCGGTCTTCACTTGAATGAAAAGGTGTGCTTTTAACTCAGATTAGCTAACTTGAGGTAAAATCCTAGTAAAAAGCAAGACAGTTAGCTGGTTCCCTCATAGTCTTGTGTGAAAACTACAAATGCCTTGCCTTCTCTAGGATTTTACCTCAAAGTAGCTAACAATCTGAGAACATACCTCCTCCCTGGTGACAAGGCCTATACCTTAACTTTACAATCCAAACCTTTACTAAATGACAAGAGTATAAGCTCTTTGAAGTCATATGTTTGTACAGCGACTAGCACCACAGGGTCCTGATCCGATTGTGACCTTTAGGTGCTAGTGCAATACAAAGATAAAAATGTTTTCAAAAGAATTTATGTCAAGGATCAAAATTAAATAAACGTGGTATTACTTAAGAAATAACTGAAAAGTACATTTCAGAACCCCACAAGAGATTTTGGATTCAATGTTTGAAGACCTGTTACTAGACGTTCATGCCACAAATTTCTAGTCTCTGTGGTTTAAGAGTATTTTCAATGTTTGTTTATTTTGCAGAACTTAAATATTTTTTTAAAAGCCTTCAGAAAGTGAGCAAAAGCTCAGAAACACGAGACAGCGCACACCATGATGGCAATTTTAATACCAAGAAGGTTGAAAGAATAAGTAATGTCGGATATCTGAGTTAACTTTCTTTTTTTCTCTCCTCAAAGTGGGACTCGAGGGGAGGAATGAAGGAGGGAGGGAGAAATAAAAGATGTTAGAGGCATGGGATTTGGGAGCAGGGGATTAAGAGACAATATTACATGAAATAATTAATATTTAAACTAATCAAAGAGATAAGAAATGCATTAAATTTAGTGTTCTAACTTTCAGCAAAGTTTATTTTAAAGGGCCTCATGGAGCTCCCAAGCATTTTGATGGAACTTTTGCAATTTCCTATTTCCACAATCTACAGAGCTCCAGCAGGCACAAGGGTAATATAGTCCAGTATTCATTTAAAGAAAATGGTATGTAACATGTTCATCAGTGCTTCACTTATTTGTTTTCTAGTCTCAGGAAATGTTTTAGGTTTATCTTGCAAATATTGTTTAGTCCTTAACAAAGAATGTAACACCCTATAATATTTGTAGATTAAATATCAACAAAATGATATAAAACTGAACTTTCCATTCAATACTATATATATGCTTTGTGTCCTCAAGAGTTTCATATTGCTGAGCACTGTTAAAACACCGCCTTGTTTCCTCTTAAGAGAGATTTCAGTAACAGGTGAAATGATATGGACAAAGTGCTGTAGGATCATCTGGGATAAAGAGTTATATAGCTCTGGTACATTATTAATTCTGACTTTAGAAAGGTTTTGTATGAAAAATCCACCAGACCCCACGCTCAATGCACTGAGGATCAGTTACAGCTTCTAGCTATCAGGGCCATTCTAGGATGGACTGAAACTGACCACATGGGCAGTGTTATTGTAGCCCCGTTCGTCCCAGGATATTAAGGACAAGGTGGGTGCAGAAATATCTTTCATTGGACCAACTACAGTTGGCGAGAGGGACAAGCTTTCTCAGAGCGACACAGAGCTCGTCTTCGGGGCTTGTCTTTCTCACCCACAGAAGCTGGTTGGATAAGGGATATCACCTCACCCACCTTCTCTCTCTCTGGAACTGACCAGCCGATTACGGGGACACCGGCAGGAAGATCAGTTGACGCTTTCCAACCCCGCCCCCGTCCCGGGACAGGCCTGAGGCAGCCCAGCCCCCAAGGCACGCACGGGATCGGGGGGGGGGGGGGGCGCGCAGCACAAGCGACAGGGGCGGGCGGTTCTGGTGGCTTCCCGAGCGTCCCTCCCCCGGCCGTTAACCGTCAGGGAGCCCGGTCACTCAGCCCGGGCGCGCCGCGGGCTCGCTGCCCCCACCCGACAGCCGGGCGGCTACTAGCTCCCCCTCCCCGGGCCCCTCGGCTTGACACTCGGTGGGTTTGAGTCAGGGAAGCGGCGCCCCGGGACGCTGGGAAGCGGCCGGACACGCGGTGCGGGCCGGAGCCGGCACTGGGAGGCCCCAGGAGGGAGCCGGGTCCAGGCGGAGGAGAGGCGGCTGCACCGCCCAAACCGCGGACACCCAGCGCGGCTTCCCCAGTCCCCTAACCTGATCCTCCTCGGTAATATCGATAAAGGCCGGGACGCTCATGGCCGCGACGGCTCCCCTGCCTGGCCCGGAGAGAGCACGCCACCCTCACCGGAAAGGTGGTGGTGCGTCACTTCCGGGACCGCGCACAGTCTGCTTCCGGGGTACTGGCCGCTCTGCCCCTCCCCCGTGGGGAGTGGCGGACGCCAGCCTGCCAGACAGCCGCCGACCCCCTGTGTAGGGCCAGGTACCCGCGGAGACTCGCCCCGGCTCTGCGGTTGTTGTGTAAAGCGCCAGCTGCGGGAGTCCCGTGAGAGCCCCCGCTTCCCTCAACCGTTCTTGCGCGCGGGGCAGCGGAGATAAGCGGGAAGACTTGACCCTTAGCGGCTCCAAAGGCAGAAGGAGAATGTAGACAGCCCAAGAGGCTTTGTGTGCATTGCACAGCCTTTGGGGCCTGATGCTCTTTGGGCACGGGGAGGTGGCAGCAGGCATGTGTGCATCTCACTCAGAGCCCACCACCAGACTAACCTTCCCAGAAGCCAAAGCATCCTGTTACCCCCCGCAAGACAGTATAACCCTCCTCAAAGGGTAACACCTGTGGCGGTTCTCTCTCTACTTCTAAGCACCCTTTGTTCCTCTTCTCTCCGCACTTCCCATCTGTTGCCCCACAAAGTCACCAGACTGCCTCCTCCTGCCATTAGCCAAGCTGGCAATAATCCGTGGAGCAGATCAATGAGGAGATTCTCAGTGATTGTGGCAACTTCTTCCCTTCCTTGGATCATTCATGCATCTGGGCCTGGTTCCTCTGCAGGGCATCCACTGACTCCTTTGCAGAACAATGGGAATTGTCCACAGTGGGCATCCAGTTCCCTCATTTTGTATTTATGAGTCATGACACCCTGTCTCTGTTCTCAGATTTGTAATCCCACGTAATTAGTTGATTTCTGGGTTCAGTGGCTCCTCTCCCTTATGAGGTGGTGGGCCTTTCATTTTGGTGGACTTATGCCCATCCTTCTGAGACTTCAAATAGGACCAAAGAGGTAGTCTTTTGGTAAAGTATGAAGTGGGAGAGAGAGCATTCCTTCAGTCTTGCCAAATTACAGACCCCAAATTTAGGAGATATTCAGTTTTCAAATTAGTTTATTTAAATGAAAATGTATTTAAAGAATTCACAATCAATAGCATGACAAAGTTTAGGATCACCTGCAACATCATTTAAGGGTTCAAGATGCCTGATAATGTGGTACAGATGGTCATAACCAGTCACTATAAAATTACAGACTGCTGAGATGGAACGTCACTGCTTTACAAAATCCACTTTTGCTGTTCCTGTTGCACTGACAACTATCACAGCTCTCTCAGTAAATGAGCTTGGTGTATTTGCTGTATGAACATTTCACTAATATCCATGCTCTGTATGCATTCAATTGTAGTAATACAGACATTTTCAGGTTTCAGAGTAACAGCCATGTTAGTCTGTATTCGCAAAAAGAAAAGGAGTACTTGTGGCACCTTAGAGACTAACCAATTTATTTGAGCATGAGCTTTCGTGAGCTACAGCTCACTTCATCGGATGCATACCGTGGAAACTGCAGCAGACTTAAAATATACACAGAGAATATGAAACAATACCTCCTCCCACCCCACTGTCCTGCTGGTAATAGCTTATCTAAAGTGATCATCAGGTTGGGCCATTTCCAGCACAAATCCAGGTTTTCTCACCCTCCACCCCCCACACAAATTCACTCTCCTGCTGGTGATAGCCCATCCAAAGTGACAACTCTTTACACAATGTGCATGATAATCAAGTTGGGCCATTTCCTGCACAAATTCAGGTTTTCTCACATCCCCCCACCCCCATACACACACAAACTCACTCTCCTGCTGGTAATTGCTCATCCAAACTGACCACTCTCCAAGTTTAAATCCAAGTTAAACCAGAACATCTGGGGTGGGGGGGGTATACTGGTTTAACTTGGATTTAAACTTGGAGAGTGGTCAGTTTGGATGAGCTATTACCAGCAGGAGAGTGAGTTTGTGTGTGTATGGGGTGGGGGGGGATGTGAGAAAACCTGGATTTGTGCAGGAAATGGCCCAACTTGATTATCATGCACATTGTGTAAAGAGTTGTCACTTTGGATGGGCTATCACCAGCAGGAGAGTGAATTTGTGTGGGGGGGTGGAGGGTGAGAAAACCTGGATTTGTGCTGGAAATGGCCCAACCTGATGATCACTTTAGATAAGCTATTACCAGCAGGACAGTGGGGTGGGAGGAGGTATTGTTTCATATTCTCTGTGTATATATAAAGTCTGCTGCAGTTTCCACAGTATGCATCCGATGAAGTGAGCTGTAGCTCACGAAAGCTCATGCTCAAATAAATTGGTTAGTCTCTAAGGTGCCACAAGTACTCCTTTTCTTTTTACAGACATTTTCAATTTTTCTTCTTTTTTCCAACTTCTTCCCTCTGACCATTTCTAGGTGGGGAGGTTAAAGAGTTCACTGCTGTCTGTGTAAACTATTCCTATTAACCAATCTTGGTTAAACAGTATTCTTGTACTGCAGGGGTCTCAAACTCAATTTACCTTAGGGCCAGTGCCAATCCTCAAATCCTCCCAGCGGGCCAATAATTTTACTCATACTGCCCAGAACCCGCCTCCCCAAACTCCAACCCCACCTGCCTAAGGCTCTGGGATAGGGTGACCAGCTCTCCCATTTTTATAGGGACAGTCCCGTTTTTTGGGACTTTTTCTTATATAGGCGTCTATTACCCCTCACCCCCGTCCCATTTTTCACAGTTGCTATCTGGTCACCCTACTCTGGTAGGGAGTTTGGGTGGAGGAGGAGGAGGTCTGGGGTAGGGGATTGAGGTGTGGGGTGCAGGCTCTGGGAGGGAGTTTGGGTGCAGAAGGGGTGAAAGGTTGGACTCTGGGACGGAGTTTGCGTGGGAGAGGAGCTGTGGGGTGGAGACTCTGGGATGGAGTTTGGGTGCTGGGTACAGGCTATGTGCTGGAGCAGGTGGTGGGGGTGTAGGAGGAGGAGGAAGGGGTGCAGGCTCTGGGAGGGAGTTTGGAGGTGGGAGGGGGTGTGTGGGGAGGGGGTGTGGCGTTTACCTGGGGTTCCAAGGCGGGGCGGGCCGAGGGCCTCCGCATGCTGCTGCCCCCAGGCACGACCCCTGCAGCTTCCCATTGGCCACAGGGGCGCTTGGGTCAGGGGCAGCATGCGGAGGCACAGCCCCTCTCCTCCCTGGGGCGGCAGCCACGTGAAGCGAGCGCGCAGGAAGCCCCTCAGCTCCACTGCGCTGCTGGTGGTGGGCGGGGCCCCGGCCATTTTAAATCGCCCGGGGGCAACAGTCGGGGCCAAGGGAGAGACCCGGCCCCAAAATTGCTGGAGCCCCGTGGGCCACATTGGGGAGGTTCTCAGGCCACAGATGGCCTGCGGGCCAGGAGTTTGAAATCCCTGCTTTACTGGAAAGACAAGAGACCCAGATCCTCAAAGTTATGTAGGAAATCAGTAGGTGTTAGGCACGTAAATACCTTTGAGGATCTGTGCCAAAGTGCATACCTATTCCAGTGTCTCTGATTTCCTTCTGCCATCATTCTAATCCTACCTAAGTGCTCTTTATCTATCTTTCACAAGACTACTGTTCTGTAGGGACCACAATCTTCAGTTCTGTTCTTGGCCCTCTGCTCTTTTGAACCTTTGTTCTTTTCTTGCTTGTCTTTTTGCCACCATTATAGTTACCACTTTTGTACTGATCATATTTAAGTATATGTATCTTTTGACTCCTTTAGTTTTAGAATTCGTTTTAATGTTTAGTAATCTTTTATAACTAATAAAACAATACTCTTCTGCTTATAGGTGCAAAACTAGTCCAGGAGGGATACTATCTACAGAGCTGAAGGATGATTTCATGATACTTGTCATGACAAACAAGAAATCCAACTGTACAGTAAATTGCTGAAATTTAATCCTTCCTGGGGCTAAAATCCTGGCTAGTAAGTCAATGACAAAACTCCCATTGTCTTCAGTGGGGCCAGGATTTCATCTTAGCTCTTGATAAGCCTCTTATGCTTCCCTTCTTTGTTCTTGTTATCAGTTTAGTTTTTTTTATTTCATTTGTTGTTGGTAGGCACTACTGAATAGCTACACAACTAAGCAACATTACATTAAAAACAAAAACAACAACAAAAAACTCTACCAAAACAAAACACTTCACTGAACACACAATTCTCCTACTTGGGAAAGGATGAGAAAACAAATGGTATGTGACCGATGTTAGTCACATTGCTAGCTGCACTTCTGGAAGGTGCCCTGATACCACACTGATGAGTGTCAAATAAGAACCTATTTAGAATATCTTATATAAAATACTTGCTAACTCTCAGAAAAATTTGTATATTTTAATCATTCGTTTAATCTAAAGTTGAGCTGAAGATGCAAAAGTCAGATCCAGAAATGGATTGAAAACACTCAGAATTCTGAGGCTTACAGGGATTTTGGTTCACCCCATTATAAAGATGGGGAAGATTAGCAAAATTCAGATTCTGATCCGGATCTGAGCTCAGACTTTGAACACTTTTTAAATATTGGGGTGATCACTATAAAGGTTTTGATTCTCTTTATGCATTATATTAAAAGCTGGTTCAAAAATTAACTTTTTCTTGCCAGAAGTTAGTTGCTATATTTTTTCCCTGTGAGATGATTCTCATTATATGGTAAGAAAATGACAGGCATGATTAAACTCAATACCCCAGAAGAATAAATAGTGAGGCAAGGTGATTAGAACTCTGAACTGAAAGTCAGGTGTCTTGAATTCTAATCCTAGCCTTGCTACTGACTTTCCTGTGTGACCTTTTGCAAGTCACTTGATCTGTTTGTGCCTCAGTTTCCCATCTGTAAAATGAAGATATTATTTAACTAACTCTGTAAAGTACTTTGAGATTTTAAGATTATATATATTATACATATAGATATGCATATATATATTTGCATTTTATAACTATTAATATTTTGCCCATTTTTATGATGTATAAAAACAGTCTGAAAGATTATTCATTTTACATTTTTTTCCTTCTATGTTTTACATTACAAATTAAAGGTGTACCTCCTCTGTTTTTCTTGGAAAACTCTATGAACAGCTAGAGAACTCGTAGATTTATGACA